ATTGACAAATTATCATAAAAACACACTTCAAAGTGGGTTATAAATATGTTTGCAATAAAAATATAAATGTTTTCACTCTGTTCGAGGGTAGTGAGCTGATTTTTTTATGACTGATAGAAAAATCTTCAAGGGTTTTCTTCCAAGAAAGTCGTTAAGTAATAGTGCTAGTGCTTTCAATTGTCGACATTTACTTTAATATGGTACTGTAAGATTTTAGAGTAGGAGTGTGTTGATGTATGTGGCTGTGGTGTTGAAGGTTATATGTTCACCCGCATTCACCTGCCTCAATTCCACCTACTGAAAGATACCCACAGCTACACTTTTGCATGAAGTGTTTAATACGAATACAAATATAAATAAAGCCTCAACTGCATAATATCATTTAGAAAAATAAATGATGACAAAAGCAAGAGAAAAATATTTTATCAGCATTATATTTTATAATTCGAATTGGACTGTCATATAACTGCGATATAAAAGCAAAAGATGAAGTTTTTATTTGAATTCTAATTGTAAACCGAATGTAGTGTGCTCTGTTAGAGTACTCAAAAAGCCAAAGATAATATTTATAACTCACTGATAATTTTCCTCGATAATGTCTTTAGCCCGTCTATTGCTATTTACAAAGTTCTAAGCAAGTTCTCAGTAAAGCAAAAAAGTGACGTGTAATTTGTACCTTTGCAGAAGTACTTTTGATCACATAAACAATCCTATATATTCATGTCGCGCCGTAGGAACACATAGCGCCTCCTCCCAAGTGCCACGACTCATGCTCTTTACTATGTATATGTTGATACCAACGTTCCATTGGGGATCTCGAACAACTTAGAAAACAGAACAGCCATATCCATACTTGCAAATCACGAAGACCTGTTACGAACTCTCAACTACTCATCATCAGCACTCTGTGAGGAGATCTTAAAGAGATCCAGGCAGGATCTAGACCCGACTCTTGTGGGTCTGCATAAAATCCTGGAAAATTTGTAGAGAATCCTTGCAAATGGTTACAGAAATGCTCTCTGAATCTACAGGAAATGCTGAACGATATGTAGGAAATCCTGAAGAATGTCTAGGAAATACTGTCAGATGTACATGGCATCTTACAGGATGTTTAGATAGTCTTTGAGCATCTCTAAGGAAACCACGAAGATTTTTTGTGAATCCTGAGGATGTCGTGGTGATATGATGCTACATATGAGTTTCCAAGGAATCAAGTGATTTTCCGGAAATCCAATAACGTTTTCGACATAACACAACTTTCGGAAAATAGCTTACTTTCCCGTAAAGAATAGACCTTTCGATCCTGAAACTTACTGCAGTGACTGAAATATGTAAAGCTGGCATCACAATCAAGGAGAGTATCAATAAGCATGGACATACACGACATTATGCATACAGAATATCGCATCTGGTGTGGATGCTGCGTAGTGTACAGTTGACAATTGGAAGATAAGTTTAAAGCTTTTAACGCGCTCACAGCTTTTACATTACTGATCTTACAGAATAGACCCTATTTTGACTATAATTATAATTCAGATAATGTTTTAACTTTTACTTTTTGCCGAACGGGTGTTGGTGTGACTTTGTAAATCTTGTTCATTTTTGAACTCGAATAAGGCAGTTACTCCAACAACATGCTCATTACTAACTACTTAATAAGCCATACTTTGACATTAGCTGACCGACTTCTCTGCATATAATTATTGACAAGACTATATGATTCATTCTCTATTTTTTCTCTGTATGTGATATAATCTTTATTGAATTCAATTCACTTTAGTTTTTTTTCTTAGAACACTAAATTTCATTGATTGATTGTGCCATTTACTATTCTTTCACGTTAAAATTACATGTCTTTCTTGAATTCTTCTAAAGAATAGTTCATTTTGAAAGATGATTATGCACGTATATTTCTACTTAAAATATAGTCAATGAAAAAGCCTAAAAGATATGGATGAAAAGTAGCAAGAAAAAGAAAACATCAGCTAGATGTTTTCGTAAATTGTGGAACAGAGAGACAAGGAAAGTAATGGATACAAAATAGAGAAAATGACACGGAAAAGAAATGACCATGATCATTTATTTTCTTTTTCACTTCTTCTAGATTATAAAAAATTGACAGGTTTTTCGCATATGATGGCAAACTAAAGTTCATATGAGCAGCATCAAATGTTATTCATTTGAACATCTTTTTAATATCGTTGACTTGCTGTCTTATGCGGCATTGCTGCTGCTGGAATGTCCGCAAGGGCACTTGGTACATCACTAAGAGCGAATGTAAAAACTTCTTCACCAAATGCTCCACGAATCGCGATCTGCTTGCCTGCAATGCCTCTGCAGCATGGTCTACAGAAGCAGAGACAAAGGCAACATAAGATGCTGCAACAATCAAGCGATTGGCAAGAATTTCGACGCACAACCGCATCACTCATTGTGCTAATGTCTGAAAGGAAAAGCATAGTATCGACATGGTCTCCAGTTCCACAGCATGCCCATTCTTGACGACGTTGGATGATTCGAGCATCAGTTAAAGTCACCGTAAAAGTTGGTCCACATCCACAGCCGCCTGATTCCTTAACATAAGTCTTCTTAACTATTTCGTTAGGAGCAATTTTAAAACTGTTATCTATTGCTTGAGGTTGTTGGGTGATTGTATATGCAGGTCGCACTGTGGACCTATGAATGTAAAAGATTCAATTACATCAATAACAATCTATCATTGCAAAGTGAATCTCATCTCAATTATCACTTATATACGAGTATGTAAAACAAAATACAATCTTTAGATTAATCTGTTTTTTAATGAATAATAGTTGAATATTCAGTATGATCTTTAGTCATCGAGTAATCAAAATGGGAGTTGTTGATTTGAAAATTTTTTTCACTAGAACTCCTCAAATTGAGTCCTTTTTATCGAGATATTTAAGCGTGTTCGCTGTAAGAATCGAATGAAGTAAACATCTACAGCATGTCCATTTAGAGAACAGAAAGTGAATAGAGACTCGAAGAGACATCGCACATTTTCAAATTAAAAACAATGACTAGTAGTTTTGCATTTGACTCATGAATAAAAAATGTAATGAAATCGTTCATGTTTTAGAGGAATTTGCTCGAGTTCGAATATCGTTTATTAGAGACAAAACATGCGTAGAATACCTCGAGTTAAACTTTAGTGTGATTAAATTCTATCGATTCATAGAACAGAATACTCACATTTCGTGCTGATCGATTTTGCGTTGTTAAAAATGAATGGTATGTAATGCTTTCAAGTTTTCAACTGTTTCAGTTGACAAAAATCGAACATAAAATCTATTTCTGTGCAGATTACATATTTTATATATCATTCGTTCTCTCAAATTCATCTGTTGTTATTGTAATGTTATTCATGGTTATATAGCTTGACAACAATCTTCAAATAAAAGAGAATATGACTTGCTTCATTTCGTTCTTATTTGTTTATATGTATCAAAGATAAGCTGTCAAAGCCATTGCCATCTTATGTTTCATAACTTTCCTTAAGATATGCGAAGTCAATTGTGAAAGTGATACATGGTTTATCAAGGACCTCACGATATGAAAGTGGGTGTGGGTGTGGATGTGGATGTTGGCATCTGGACGTTCTCTATATACACACTCGGACTTACACTCATTAACCACACACTTCATCTAAAACTACGATGTGATGTAATAATCTCGAAAAAATCATACAAAAAAACCATATCGAAAAATTGAAAGTTCGTCAAGAACATCATTCCGAAAGAAAACCTCTGGAACAGTCTGCAGTTTATATTTTTAATGTGTTAATTCAACAACATATGTTTCTAGTTTACATTTTATTTTAAAAATGAAGGATAATCAAGTCACAAAATAGAAAAATAGTAAAAATGTCAATAAGGAAATTATTATTTGCTTGTTCCAAGGGTATGATTGTGAGTGTGGAAGTGGATGTGGGTGTGCTGGCATGAATCTTCTCTTCATACACACCCATACTCGAAAAACTATTGATTGGTAGGATTGTTTCCATCAAGCTTGCTAAATGGTTATACAATTAGAGGAGATCATTCGAAATTTGATTTTCGTAATTTTAATATACGAAATTTTATTGTATTCGACATTTCGAAATCCGAGAATTTTGTGTTCAACATTTTTTCTGAGATTTTTAGAGTAATTTAAAACTCCAGTCACATTCGCACCCTTTGTCTTGTTCATGACGCAGGATATTATGTGTTGCATATGATATAAAAATTGACTCTTTTTGGTCTTTGAATTGTGTTAGGAAAAAAAGATATTCGGGACTATCATTTAACGAAGTTGCTAAGTGTTGATTATGTTTAATATTTCATTTCTCATGTCACTATAGAAAAAATTAAAGTGTCTCAGTAGTTCAGCTTTCTAGATATAGTATTACGAATTGAATAGTCCTAATTTGGTCGAAACTTTTCGTGGATGAAACAGTATCGAATTTTATCACTAATCTATAAGAACAATCTACAACGCTTCAAGTTCGCCGTAAAATGTTCTATTCTCATGGTATTAGATGAAAAATGACGTCATCAATCATTCGACATAGGCAACTTAGAACAAAGTTTCAAC